ATGTAATTAATTTAATTGCTTGGAAATGATGTTGATAAGTTGAAATCATACTTGAATCAAGTTTGAAATTAATGAATCCACGACCTATAGTATTCGACCATGATGAAAGAAATTAGGGAAATTATGAAAAAAAGTTCCTATGGGTTAGAAATGATATTAGAATAATTCTACGTGTTTTGGAATGTGATATGGACCAATTTAAAAAATTATAAAAGTATAGGGATTAATTGTATGAAATGAGAAATATGGATATTATTGTGCAATTGTTTAATAAATGATGTATTATGTTAAATATAAATGTTGAAATGATAAAATTGACATTATGATGTTGATTGGGATCAAACTGGAAAATTATAAAATTTATAGGATTAAATTGCATACTCTGTGAAATACAAAGATTAAAATGTAATTTTTTAATAGTTTAAGTACTAGGCTGTAATTTAGATGTTAGAATGTTGAATTCGATGTTAAAATGTGAAATTCGACTAATTTAGAAATTTGATAAAGTTTGGGGACTAAATTGTATATTATAGAAAAGTAGAGATTTAAGTGAAAATTTTAGGTATTAGGTTTCAATTAAATGTTGGAAATTTTGATTAGGTTAAGTGAAACTTGAATTGAAGTTAAATTGTAAAAAAATTTAAATATTGATAACTATATTATAAGTTGTGGGTTTGAAACGAAATTTGGTATAAGTTAATGAGCAAAAATTTAACATGTTGTTGGAATGTTTGAATTTTTTTATGATGCTTGAATTTAGGATTAGATAGCCAAAAGGACTATATTGAATAAAATATAAAAATTGAGATGAAATTTTGAAAAGAACTTATTTTATGATTAAAATTATGGTATAATGGATTTATAATTGAATTTGGAAAGTTGTAATGATACAAGAGTTAAATCGCAAAATGGAAAGAGATTGAAGACATAAATGGCAATTGTATAATTGTTAAAAAAATATTTTAAACAATATATTGGAATCAAATATTAAACTATTGATTTAATATTGAAATGTTGATTTTGGACTAGTTTGTAAGTTTGTTAAAGGTTGGAACCAAAATATAAAATGCTTAAATGGTAAGCTTAATGGTTATAGAATAAATATGAATAATTAAATTACTTGAGCAGTAAATAATAGAATGGTGACTTTGATATTAAAGTATTATTTGAGACTGATTTGGAAATATGTATAAGCCAAATGATCAAATTGAAAAGGTGGAGAAATTATGGGATTAAAATATAAATTTAGTGTAAGATGATATGAGAGGTTTAAGTGAATAGTAATAATATATGTTTATTAGAGGGATTTGAAAGGCAAATTGAATTATGGTTAAGTTGTAAAGGACCTTTTTACATTACTTGAGAAATTGAAGAATTAATATGTAAAGGTTGGAAAATTTGTATGATGAAAATTATAATTAAGAGATGACAATTGAATTTAGATTAATATGCAAAATTGTATAAGATAGAGGTATAGTTCGTGAGGTTTAGAAAAGTTGGTGGTAAAATGATAATTATATATAAGATAATGCATTAGATTGAAAATAATGTGAAAATAATTTATATGGATTCAAACTGATATTGAGAAAATGATTTGGATATTTTGAAATATTGAAATTATAATTGAAAGAAAATTTTATTGATGGCTAAATGTGAAATGTTGAAGGTTAGATGAGGTGTTGTAAGAAATATATTATTTACGAGAGTAAGAAGGTTAATTTGATAAAGTTTAAGTTAGTTTTCAATTTGGTTAAAGAAATTAGTATTGAATATACATTAATAGTATTTTCAAAATATTTATATGATTATGAATTTATTATATCACTACAGGAAAATAAGTTTTTAGTGGCGTTTTTTAGTTTTATAGCGGCGTTTTTAAGTGTCGTTAAAAACACTACCTGCGTTAGTAAGAGCGTCGCTTAAGTTAGCGGCGTATTTGGACATAAAGTGCCACAAAAGGTTTAATTATATAGCGGCGTTTTTTGCCACAAACGCCGCTAATTCTCTTATTTTTAGTAGCGTTTTGACCACAAATGCCTCTAATTCTCTTATCTTTAGTGGCATTTATAGCCACAAACGCCGCTAATTTTATTGTTTTTAGTGGCGTTTGTAATACAAAACGCCACTATATATTATGATTTGTAGTGGCATTTTTACAACAAATGCCGCTATTTGCAAAAGTTTGGCGTTGGCAAATTTGATTGGGTTGCTAATATAATATTATTATAAGAAACATTTTATTAATTAAAGAAAATCAAGAGAGTAATTTACAAATAGTTTAGAATTTATTAAAGAAAACAAATTATCATCATTCATCATACATCGTACATGATATCTTTAAAGAATATTAAGTTCAAAGCTAAAAAACTGATGGCATTAATTTAAAAAACAAATCAAGGCATTAGTCCAGTTGATGTGAAAGGGTCAAGAAAATACCCAAAACATTTACAACATAAACTTTTTCACCAAAAGCACTTTCATGTCTTTTGCAAACCGAGAAATCTGATTCAAAATGTTGTGTATGCTTACTGACCTGTCAAAGAAAAGAGGAACAATCATGTTATTGAATGAATACTGACTATCAAAGTACACAACAATATGTTTTAAGCATCCATAAAGTTAAATCCTACAATAGATTTACTTTTAACATCAGTAAAACAGGATTAGATACAATTGTTCCAAAGATACATGACCCACTTTGAAAATTACATCAGACATCAGTCTATTCCCCGATGCTTGGTGCCAAGATATCACAGTTTAAGGACTCCTCCGTCACAAGACTGCTATAACCAATTTATATTTTACCTTCTCCATGTTCACGCACTTTTCATGTGCCCAACTAACCATAAGCTCCCAAGTCATAGCATTCATTAAAATCCCTTGTAATCACCAGTTCACCACATTCATAACATGATTAAAAGTTCTATGATGGTTTAAAGATTTGGTCAAATGTGAAGGGTCAATGACGGGAACAACTAAATAAAAGTCTAGAACAGGAGTATGAAAAAACTAAATATCTGCGGGTGTTAACAACTAACAAATAACAAGATTAACAGTCATGTATAAGTACCTTTAGAATGCAAAACAAAAGAAAAAGAGGAACTAAAAATTTACAGAACTAGTACAGAAAATCAAGAGAGTAATTACAGAATCTAGAGAAGAGTAGACCTTGCAATTTGATGTCTTACTGCATGGACCAGGGATTGGCATCATAAAAGAAATTTCATTACTTCTATTATTTAGCTACATCCCAATAGACATACTGAAACTTCTTAGGTAACAGATTTGGATAACGAAAACAAGAGTGATATGCATGAGATGAATAAATCATATATTTAATGTGAGAATGAGAAACTTTTTCCTTTGAATTGTGTTTTTACATACGTGCATCCACATATAGCAACTGCTTAGCACTCTACCATTGAATTCAACTCCACACCAAATAGAAGAACCCATAATGAATTAATACAATCAAAAAAATCTATAAGAACACGTACCATCAATTACGGAAGAAACAGTCTCCACAGATGTTAATGGTTTTCTGGATTCAACAGGAGAGAAACCTATAGTTTGAAGTAAGTGATCTTCAATGATTAAATTATTGTGGGATCATAAAAACAAAATTGTGCAAAGCATCAAAACAATTTCGTTTCAACTGCAAAGGTTTAACCACGAAGCCCAAAATAAAAAATGGAAGCATCAACAATGCCTCTCCCCATAATGAATAGCGCCAATGAAAATAGCCCCCAACCTATATGATTTGCTAACACGGTGATTAATTATTAAGCATCTTGGAGACATGCCTAAACAATACAGATGGGTCTCATGTAATACTTCGAACTAGGAGTGTAAATCACATAATGCAAAACTAAGATCTATGAGAAATAAAGAACAAGATTTACAAACTTACAAATCCACCATAAACGTATCCAAGAGCAATTCCAGTAGGTATGCACATATAAAACATTGCAAGCCAAGCTGTTTTCTGGAGTATGACAGAAAGTTAGCATGATCGTGTAGTTTTGGAAGGAAAATAGTATATGTATCTTTCTAAAGTTGAAAAAGAAAAAAAAACAAATGAACCTGAGAACTTAAATTTAATATAAAAACCAAAATTTTAAGTCGCAATGAATCAAGAGGAGGAGATGCTACCTGCCAACGGTGTTCCCAATCAAGTGGCATAGGCCAAGTACCAAACCAAGCTCCAATGATAGCTCCATGTGTTGGTAGACAAAGCATAAAACCCAAAGGTCCTTTTGGCCTAAGAAAATGATACCAAACATCTATATCAGCAGGTACTAAAACCCTAGCACAAAAACTGCATTTGAATCAAGCATTATTCAGGTAAAAACGAATTCTAGATGGATAAGACATCAGCCTCTTTATATGGATAATCATATTTTCTATTGAAACGTTCACCTGGTACTCCAATTTATATTGCAGACCTAACTATATGAACCATAAAGCGTTGATACTAAAAACGGCATGTTCTGAAACTTCACTTCATTTCTGCCTGTGAGCTCAAGCTTTAGATAACAAACTTCCCATAAAATGATTAAGCCAACAAATTGCAATGAAGTTCTAAAGGCCAACCTACCGCATGCTCTTTCACCCCCTCCTCCTCCTCCTTCACACACAAATACACCAAATCAAAGGTGAAACTTTAGAAGAAAGCATTTGTCTGTTGAAAAAGTTATACATGTTTCACAGAATGAAGCCAGCTGTTTCACCTGTTGAAGAACAAAACACAACTAGAAATTAATATAATTATGTCACAATGGAAACTCATCAATACTGCCTGTTGGCTAAGAGGAAACATGAACAAAATGAAAATCCAACATGATATCCAAGTGAGGATATCAAACAAGGAAAAAAGGCAAGAGGATCACAACCATGATATACCTTTAGAATTTTATAAATAAAATTAAATGAAATAAATATGTAAAAGGGAACATATTGTTACACGAGTATGCATGCCCAACACCTGAAAGAGTCAAATTTTAAGCATTCAAAGATGTATGATAATGATAAACAGGCAAGGGAATTGAAATTTGGAAACTTACAGTCAATGAAGACATCAGAAGAGACCAGCTAATGGTCCTTTCAAAGTACCTGCATCCAACAATAGAGGAACACAGTTAATGCATGATTTTGCAATAACTTGATTCTAAACCATAATGAAAACTGAAAAGCAATGCCAATTGACTGCCTTGGATAATATTGTCTCAATCGTAGTAATGTTAAGGATCACTTACTGCAATCCGACTGGTGCCCCCAAAGCTAACGCTCCAAGCGCATTTAAAAGAGCCCCTAGTAATCAAAAGACATACTAATTATACAAATATATTACTAAAATTATAGTATTCAAGTGACATTATCAGCTTAACACTAATCAACAGGAAGTCCCAAAAGACCTTGGGAAATAGCTTTCAAATACTGTAAAAACCCAACACATAACAGTTTCGTAAAACACTTAAAAATAAGAAATAGTAATAAAAGTTGAATTGAAATTGTTGGCTAATCGAGCAATTCTCCGGTTTCTGTCTACAACAACTGAAAAGAAGGATAACAACCGGGAATTCAATAGCCTAACAACGAAAACAAATCATTAAAAATAAGAAAAAATTAGAGACAATGAAGAAAGTAAAGATATTTGAGGAAAAGTAAAAAGGGGTACCCAGATCAAACGAAGAGTGGTGGTGGGATCAGAGATGAGATTGGTGGAATAGACATTGACTTTCAGAGTATCGCTCCAGACCATTCCCCAAAACACTGCAAAGTGGACCTAGGCACATCCAAAGACCAAGTAATTAGTCATGAAAGAGAAGAAACATGGTTACAATAAACAAATCAAAGAACCGAAAACAAGTCTAAAGTCGAGAGGGAGGAGAGAAGAAACATTTTTATTTTTTAGAAAGGGGAGCGGGAATGGAAAAATAGGTGAAGGGAAAAATGAAAAAGGGTTAAAGAGGCGCGGGATTTAGAAAATTTAAACTTGCCGTGCTTCTAAACACAAAAGCCACTAAAGACGAGTCTATAGCGGCGTTTGTATAAAAACGCCACTACTGTACGAGTCTATCGCGACGTTTATACAAAAATGCCACTAAAGTATAAGCCTATAGCGGCGTGTTTGTAAAAACAAACGCCACTAAAGTACGAGTCTATAGCGGTTGTATATAAACGCCACTAAAGTACGAGTCTATAGCGGCGTTTTGTGTAAAAACGTCACTAAAGTTACCATTTGTGGCGTTTGAAATGCGACGTTTATACAAAAATGCCACTAAAGTATAAGCCTATAGCGGCGTTTGTAAAAACAAACGCCACTAAAGTACGAGTCTATAGCGGTTGTATATAAACGCCACTAAAGTACGAGTCTATAGCGGCATTTTGTATAAAAACGTCGCTAAAGTTACCATTTGTGGTGTTTGAAATGTAAACGCCGCTATATGTTTAAAGTTAGTGGTGTTTACTCTTAAAACGCCGCTAAAAACACGCTGTAGAACAGTTTTGTTGTAGTGTATTAATTAAAGTATGAACACATAATTAAAATAGTAAACGAATTTGATAATCTTTTTATAAATATTTTTATAGGAAGAAGATATAAGATTTCAGTGGTACGCAAAGTGAAGTGTTATTGATCGAACATACAGAGGTACATTGGTATACAACATAGTTATCGGATACATTTATGTATTTGGGATCAAAAGGTACAGTGTTGTTGTGTTATATAGTATATGTACATTCATAGTGCACCTACACTGCAATCATAAGGCACTAAATGTTCCATACAACTACAGAACAAAAGTAGCTATGTTGCATACAGTACAGTACAATGCATCTGCAGTGCAATCACAATGCATTAAATATGTCATACAATCACAGATTACAGGAAGCTCTACTGCACACAGGGCACAAATATTACATAGTTACAAGCAGTTTATATTGCACATAGCATAGAACACTCAAGCATAGACTCACGTGTCATGTATTCTCATGATTATACATTGGGTCATAAAACAAAAGTAAAATATACAGTAAGAGAAATAGTATAATAAAAGAAATTATACAGTAAAGGAATCATCACAGAAAAAGGAACAGTACGGTGAAAGGAACGATACAGGAAAAAGAATAGTACAGTGAAAGGATTAGTACAGGAAAAAGAGTAAGTATATGAAAAGAAACGATACAAGTTTAATTATTATATTTTACAATAAAATTTTATAAACATATTGTAAATTATATTGAATGGTTTATATGCAAGGAGTTATATTGGTTTGAATTGACATATGAATGATATGTATATCTATGTAATGATGATAATATAAAAAAAGTTGTTGTCAGCAGGTGGTCGTGTGGTGGTAGACAACAACTAAAAGGAATCTATTTTAAAATAAGTCTGATTATAGATGTTATAGATATTTTATATATATTGTTATAAAAAGGACATTACATAAACCGTGCTCAAATGGGAAATAATACAGTATAAGAAATGTAATAAGGAAATGTGAAAATATGATAAGATACTAAGTGGTTATGTATGAGTGTATTAAAATTTTAGGTTATAAAGATAAATCGGTTAAATTTTAAATTAGGCAATTTTATATTATGATATGAAATATTATTAAACTGTTTAGATATTGAGTGTGATCGAGCGTAAATTAGAAATTAAAATATTACATCATGAGTTTACATAGTTAAATAGTCTGATAATAAATGTTAAATTATGAGATTCTAAAAGAACTGAATTTTTTCTCTCATTCAAACAGTAATTGTTAAACTAAAACATGTGACATCCTTAACTTGTATTCAGAAATGAAAGCGGGTTAAGGGTGTTACATGACCTAAGAGAGAAGAGGAAGGAAGTTGCACACAAAATTCCCATTTTTCTTATTTTCTTCTTCCTTTTTTTGGTGTTCTCAATAGACAAGCTTCAAGGGGTAGCAAGCTAGGCCTAGGAGGGAAGCTAGCTTGCTACAGTTTGTGATGGTTCAAGGAAGCTCACGGTAGCTAGAGAGTTTGGGAGTTTTCTCATCCCTTCTTTCTTTTATTTTATTTCTTTCGATGGGTTGTAATGGACGAAATTCTTGTGGATGATTTGTACCCCAGCATGAACTAAATTATTTGGTGTGGGTTTATTTTGGATGATTATATTTTGTTTCAAACAAATGGTTTATATTTTCCATGTTTAAATGATTTCTTTGTTCATTGTTCGAATGTTTAGTAGCTTAGATTTGTAAGAGCTTTCGAGAGATAACCATTTTCTAAGTTTTGATGCCTAATATCAAGAGAGTTAGGTTAGATCTACGTGAATAATGGAGCTAAGCTGGGATGGCGAGGCTCTAACTCGCCTTAGAGATAAGGAAAGGGTTTTAACGACTAAAAGGGGTATGACTTAATTGATATTATTATGCTGCAGTTTAAGCTAAGAGGTATTGTCGTAACATTTTCTTTATTAGGTTCCTTACTAGAGATAGCCTAGGAACACTTTAGCAAACCTCGTCGAGCATCATACTCATGGAAAAGGTGAACCATTCTAGAGACAAAGTATATGATTCCTAAGTAAACCCAGACATTTATCCCCATAGAAGTTTGTTTGTGTGAGGTTGTCAAGTCTCTTATTTCATAACCTAGTGCTCATTTTATTTTTCTTTAGAATTTTTGTTTGATTATCACAGTAATATGCCACAACATTTAGCTCTTTATATCTACTATTATGCCATAGCATTCTTGTCCCAACTGTTCATACCATTTATACTTTACTAATGGCATTTTAGTGCATAACTTTACTCGAAGTCCCACCAATCCCTGTGGAGACGATACTCACTCACTATTATATTACTTGTTCGATTGTGTATGTTTATACAGTTTTGCGTGCCACATCAAAGTACATTACACACACAACATAGGGGTGTTTACTTTTCAGTTTTAACCTAATTCGATCAAATCGAATTAGTTCAGTTAATTCGGTCAACCACTAAATTAGATTGATCGGGGAACAATTAATATTTTTTTAAATATTCGGTTAACGGTTAATTCAGTTCAAAATTGATTAATTAACCATAATAACTAAAATTATTTAATATTAAATATCATATATATATATATATATATATCAAATACTTATTTTAAGCTCAAACCCATCTAAAATTAAGACCCAATTATTTTTTAACCATACTATACTCGTTAAATTATAAATACCTAATTTTATTTTAACCCAAATAAAAATATCTTTATTATATTCAAATTAATCTAAATAAAAATTATAAAAAAATTGGTTAATTTGGTTAAACGATCGAAATAATTGAACTTTGTTAAATTCGTTTAATATTTTCAAAAAATATTGATTCAATTAACAGTTGAAGAAAAAAGTTTATTTAATTCAGTTATTGAAAATTCAGTTCGATTGGTGGTCGAATTAACAGTTTGAACACCCCTACATACATGAATTGCTAATTAATGGAAATTAAAAAAAAAACACGTAAAGGAACTTAAAGATATAAAAAATTACTCCAAATAATCATGGCTAAACTCATCAATCCTAAATTCTTCATCACCTCTCTATAAAACCCTTGAATACATGTTTAGAAATTTACTTTTTTGAAGCTTTTAGGAGGATGGGGTAAAGAAGCTTTTGCCTTTAACTCACTCTATTTTTGTAATTTTTCTAGAGGAAGATGAATGAAGTACTTGTTGATGGAAAGATGAAAGAGAAATTTAAAAGTAAAAATATGGAATGATAAGGGATATTATTTAAAAATGGAGAAAATAGGGATAAATCAATCACCGTGCGCATATTGCTATTAGTCAGCAAAATCTTCTCCATCAATGTTAGAGTTTATTTTTATTTAAAAATGGTAAATTACTCTTTAGGCCATCTAACTTTACACCATTTCACTCAAGTTTCTCAACGTCATTGATTACTTAAAAAGGTCCAAAATCCTTCCAATTTAAGCCTAACCAAAACTCAAACCTCAAATTAAATTATTTATTATTTACTCAAGTCAACACTTAAGCATTGACTTGAGAAATTAGGTAATTACAGATCCATTATGTTCAAGACAGTCCCACTGGACCCGCTTCTAAATGGTATAATCAACTAAGCCATAATCAAATCCATTCTTGGAAGGATTTAACTCAGGCCTTCTTAGGTCAATATAAGAACATGACTGATATGGCCCCTAACTGAACAACATTACAAAATATAGAGATGAAGCATAACTATTGCTTATGACATTATGCACAGCAATGGAGGGACGTTGCATCCCAAGTGCATCTACCATTAACTAAAAGGGAGTTCACTATTTTGTTCATCAATACATTAAAATCTCCCGATATTAATCACATGATAGGAGCTACGACTACAAGTTTCTCTGATATCATCATGTGTGGGGAAATGATCAAAAGAGCTATCAAGAATGGTAAGATGAGGGGAACTAGCAGTAATGGTGTCGAGAAAAGAGATGAGGTCAATACAATAAGATTTTATTTAGCTAATCATGGGACCAAACATCATAGAGTGATCCGAGAAAAGACTTTGATTGGTTCAATTTCGATGACATATTAGGAACTACTCCAACATTAGTTAAGAAGAACTTGGTGACACTACTGCAGTCCAAGGCAAAAGAACTCAAGCTATGATGTTAACGCCATATGTAGCTACCACAAAGAAAGCTCGGGGCACACTACTGAGAATTGTGGGGCATTGAAGCGCAATGTCCAAAATTTGATTGATTTACGGGCATAGACCTTTAGTGAGTAATAAGGTATCTGATGCGAATTGAAAAG